ATTTTATTAGTAAGGCAGTTTTGCAAGGGTCAGTACAGCTTAATTCAGTAGCCGAAATAATCTAACAGGTAAAATCAATAATCTGGTCTATCTTTCCCTAATGCTGACACTGTGAACTAAAAAAGGAAAACTTTGAGAGAGACGGACGGAGTTTGGCATTTTGAACCCCAGAACTGGCCTGATGATGGAAATGTTGCAGCAGCAGGAGGCTCCCAGTACAGGAAGAGTACTGAGTCAGAGCGGCAGATCTCGGGCCTCAGGGTGACTTCCTCATGCACATAGCAGTCCTCTCCTTCTTGTCTTGCAGCTCTGTACCTCCTTTCTCTTCGTCTCACGATCTTTCTGGTCCTTCGAGATGTAGAAGAGCTGGTCTCATGGAAGGAACACACCAGTTCTTCCTCTTTGCCTTTGTTCTTTATCTTTGTCTTTATCTTCATCTTTGCCTTGGTCTTTGTCTTTATCTTTGTCTTTGGGGTCCCAAACCCAGCTGATGAGAGAAATGCAATTTGAAGCCACATGTTGCGGGGCTAACGGGTTGGTCCTCTGTGGCTCCGGCTCTTCTTCAGCTGCAGAGTTCTTTGTCCATCTCGATCTTGGCTCGAAGCTGCCTGGAGGATCCAACCAAAGATTCCTCTGTTGCACCCACCTTATAAAGGATTTATCCACTCTTTTGGTGCATTTGCATTGGCTAGCTTTGTTGCTGTGCCCGTTTCATTGACTGACTGCTTGGACCGATAATCTCATATCCATCACCATCTTTGGACATGACCTGATGTCTGTTCTAATGTCCCAAGTTGCTCAACAGCTCTCTTGTGTCTAACCTTTTCTTAGGTAAGTTTTAAGTTTAGCAATAAGGCCTTAGTCACCTCCGCTCTCCCATCAGTTCCCCTTTCTCCCTGACCTTTCACCTACCATCTACCTCTAACACAACATCAGTGACCTTTAGTTACATTTAAACATTTCACCACATTTCAAGTTCAATGTCAAAATCACATTTATAACCCCTTAGTTTTTCTGATTTAGCATTCACTTATAATATTATAATAACCATTACTTATTAGTTACTCTTATAATCATAATGTGTTATTACAGACATTTCTGAAAAGAAACCAAGAATAATCCATTATTCCAATTATTTGACACCAAAGTCACAGTTACTTCTTTCACCGTTAAGTACTTCCATAAGTGTAAGAGTAAGTGTAAATATCATTATAATCAAACCAACATCAACCACTGGTTAAACCAATATTAATTATCGGTTTAATCATAAGTTATTATTAATTTAAGTATTTTACTCTGGGTTTTATCCAATTACTCAAAATGTTTAGATTTTATTCTTTAAACCTTTAATGCTTTGAAATGAGCACTCTGAACTATTTTTAAACACATGCAGGCTGGAAACTTCCCCTTTCTTCAGGAAACCTGCTCTTCCTGTTCCATGACTCTCTTTTTGCCTGACTATGATTTTTTATGATTAAATAGAAAAAAGTAGAATTAAAGCAAAGTTTGCAGGACACAATAACAGCAGGACACAATAACAACACACACAACCAGATTACTTTTATTACCGTCTGACTCTACTGTTGGGTCTTGATGTCACCTGTGTAATTAGTTTTAAAGATAACTTTATTTATTGTTATTATTAAACTAAAATCTCCAGCATGGGGAAGTGGGATGAGCTCGACTTTTCTCGACACCCCCTCCTCGAGGTCAGACCTTTCACATGCTGGGAACCCAACACCCTCCTGCAGGTCTGCGTCCTCATCCTCTGGAAAGAGAAGATGGTCCTCTGGGCTGTGAAGGATGCAGACCCTCAGTCGTCACCAAGGCCACAGCAGCCGATGTGATGATGCAGATTCTCAAAACTCCACTGCTCTTTGACAATTGATACTCGTTTATTTTAAATGTTTTTCTTTTAAATACGTCAGTAGCAGTGGTAGAAAAGATGGGTTTATAGTTAAAGCATTGAATTGAGTGCGAAGCCGCAGGAAACAAGCAGGAAGTCCATGAGGACTCCTTAGACATGCTTCACAAACCTGAAACTTCCTTGTACATCAGAGAGACATTTTAAGGTAAAAAGTCTTTATTGAACAGAGTTAGCAAACATTGTTTTTGATTGTGAAGTCTTATTGTACAAACATGCATTGTGACTGATTGGGTTTAATGCTCATCAATACTCACCTGTTCTGTGAGAATTGTTTTCAGTACTTTGTAACTTTGAATGTATTTGCAGAATTAATATTTGTGCAAACAAGTCATTATTTTTGTTTGTCCATATTTTTTATAAATATATGAAATTTTAAATTTACTTTATGCTGTGATTGTAAGGATTTGAGTTTTTCTATTTATTTAGGTTTCTGTGTCAGTTGTTGTCCTGTCTACCCTTGATTGATCCCAGCTGTGTCTAGTTCCCTTGATTACCCCCTGTGTATTCGTACCAACCTGTAATTCTTCTTTTCTGTCAGGTCCTTGTCTTGTCGTCTCATGTCTGTCTGCAGTCTGCCACCAGTCTGCAACCTTACTGAAGTGAGGTTGCCATACAATTGACACTCTAAAGCCATTTGTAAGGCAACCTCACTTCAGTAAGGTTGCCATACAATTGGCTCGAAAGTGTCAATTGTAACACTCAAGGCAGAACAATTGTCTTGACCAAGGACACAAGGACTAAGACAAATTACCACACCAGATTTTACAGGATGAGCCTCTTCCCTCTGATCCACCATTGGCTTTATATGGCAAAATTTGCTGCTGTATGAAGAACAAAATTAATGATATCTCAGACATATCTGATTTATATTATGTTCCAGTGTACCACTGTTTCAGCTCTTTGAAGGAGGCAAATTATCAGATGCATCATTTATATTTTCTACTTCTTGTTTGGACATAAATTTGTAAATGCCAAACCTTTTGTCATACAAAGGCAAATGGAACTAGACACACTCCGCATTATTCTTGCAACTTACTGTGAAAGGTGCTTCTTTACTTTCATTTTCCCAGAAGTTACCTGTGGCAGATCCATTTCACAGGAAAGCAATAGTTACAGCATCAGTTAAGCTGTGAAATAAAATGGATTCCATTGAATGTTCATGTACTAGTCAAGTTTGGTTCCTCTAGCAGAGGCCTGGATGCTAGTGGGGTTTACACAACATCTTAGATTCACTTAGGGTTGAGCTGTTCTATTTCTATTCCACCACAGTGTCCAGACAAATGGCTATTATCTGTTTATTTAGCTTGATATAAATCACATAAGATCTTAGCTCTGCAGGGTTTCCCGTAGTGTTTTATAAGCCTGGTGGGCTGCCAGGCTTTACTTGCCCCCTCACCAGGTTGTGGGAAGCAACAAGTACTGATTGTTTATTTTAAAGGCCAGGCCTGTGCATCAATCGTGCCATCCTCACCCGCTCTTGCAGCACAGGTTGTGCGCCTCAGAGTTTTTGTAACTCTGCAGAGATCAGGCACACCACCTTTCAATCAAAATGGTCTATTTGGAAGGTATTTTTGCAGAGCAGCTTCACCTTTATATGACCCTATACGGGTCAAGTATGAAATCCTCACCGGTTGCTTAATACAAGTCTCTAAAATTGTAACTATCATGTCACTGGTGGACTTCCCTAGCACCTCGATCACCAGGTTTAGCAAGTTTTCTTGGGGAAACTTGAACTGGGCTTAAGGCTGAGGATGCAGTGGGTCACAACAATCATGTCGTCCATCATGTTAAGAATAACAGCTCTCTGTTATCCTCAGCTACTCTTGGTGGTGTCTCCAAGCTTTACTGAAATGTTCCTGCACACTGTTCAATTTGATAATGGTGTTTCATCTACACTTTACCTGTCAATATTTTACACAAAACTATTTAATTTTGACTCACTCCAAACATCCTAGATGCACTTTTTGCTTTTTGACCAAGTGCTGGTTTTTATATATTAAAATTATCTCATGAGTTGTCAGCAATGCTTGTCTCTATCTGAAAATATGGAACAATCATGTTTTAAACTCCCCATAGGAAAAGTTACCACATGGTACATTACTCAGTAGAAGAAATTAGACTCCTGGGAGTGATTTTATTATCGCTTTTATGTGGATAATTTGCTAAAATAAGAAATTCTTGAGCTACACGGGTCACAAGGGTTTGCATTCACTTAGGGTACGACTATAGGAATGAAACTGCTTTCAAGTCAGTGAGAGCTTGTACTGATGTGCCTGTGGCGCCTCCTAGAGGTTAACAGGGCTAACAAATTCCATTTTCATTTGCGGTTCTCAGTTAATACATATCAGTCTGATTTTATGTCAGTGACAGACATTACAGCTGTGATCAGGAGGTGCAAAACTGATCAAATTCTCAAAATTAAAAGTAATCAGAGGAAAACATGGCAGAAATCATTGAGTGAAAGCTGAAGAAATGACAACATGAACCATCACCAATGTGACATGTAACATGGTTACCGGGTAAGATGTGTCTTTTCAGCTTAATTTTGTAACCACAGCTAAAATACAAAAACAAAGCAAACAAAACAGCACACACAAACTAATGTACGTCTAGTCCTCTTTATCAGTTATTTACCATTTAAAGACTTAGATCTGTCATAAGGGGTGGTTTGGTGGTGGTGAAAACGAGACGCAGGCAGATGAAGATGAAAATTACAAATTTAATGAAGAAACCAAGGAATAGGACAACGGGCCACAACACGAGGAACATACGAAGCACGACCAGGATCTGACAAGAGACAAAGACAACAGGTGGGTTTAAAAACACAAGGGGTAATCAAGGAAACAAGAAACACCTGGGAACAATCAATGGGGAAGACGCAGAGACAGACTCACAGGAAACAGGATAACAATAAACACAAAATACGGATCATGACAAGAACAGACTCAACTGAGACAGAAGTTTAGAAGTCTTGACATATGTCAGCGTGAAAAAGCAGTTTTAACCTTGTCACGTTATGTTTGAGTTTTTGTAGTATACATAACTGTGAATTAAAACAATGTAATTTAAGAAGCAGAACTGGTTCATGCCTTGTCAGGTGAGCTCTCAGTTTTATTCAATATTAGCAGTTTATTCAAAGATAAACACAACAAAAATAAAACAAACTGTTTCAAATGTACAGCCTTGCATAATTTATTTGAATTTCCTCTAAATCCTATAATTAAAACCTTAATTTTTTACTCCACTTTCCATTTGTTCTTAACTTCATATTTAAGAACAAATGAGGAAAGAGCAGAAACTAAAGCAAATGTTTTTCTTTTTTTTCTGGGTGCAAGGCCAGCAACTTTTAATTCCTCTTGAAAGAAAAGAACAACTTGCAATTTTGTAAATTTTAACACAAAATGATCTAGTTTTTACAAGATTATAAATAACTTTAATATGACCACAGGTACACCAAAATACACTGCAGATTCTAACATTTCATTGGTATCAAAGCCAGACATTTTGAACAAATAAGAACAAAAAGTAAAAGTGCTCACAGTGGAACACTGTTCTTTTTCAGTGTATCATCATCAGTGTCCGGTTTTTGGGTAACTTTCTATTACAAACAGCCCATTTTACAGTCAGATTTCAGTTTACAAAATACTCTGTCCATTTGTCACAGTATTGTTGTTAATTATTCATGCACTAATGTTGCGTGACCGATAAAAAAATTCACATGGTATCTTCTGACTGTGCCAGTTTTTCTATAACTCTCTCCAGTTGTTTCGCCTTGTCTTCATATTCTTGGGTTCTTGCCTCTTCCGTTTCAAATTCTTTAATCAAATAAACCAGAGTTTCCTTCATGAAGCCTTTTACCTGCTTCATGAGTTTAGGTATGTATTCACTGTTTGGCAGCAAGTTCTTCGTAGTTCCAGCTAAATCGTCCATTAAATTCAGGAGATCATCAAAGAGGTCTGGTAGGAAGGACATGTCCACCATGTTGTCCACCTAGTGGGGAAAACGTGTAGTTTATGTAACAGTTCAAATTAATTGATTTGTAATAAGGTGATTATTTGTGTGTTTTACTCACTTTTCTCATTACTGCATCCTGCTGTAGTTTCAGAATATTTCCTCTGATTAATTTCTGTTAAAGAAACGCAAACATTTACAATCAGAGCGAACAGTTTTATCACATATTGGCAATGAGCTCAGAGAAACCTTGACTGTAATAACAATCCTCTTAAAAAAAAACAATTATTTATTTCAAACTAGAAAAAAAAAATACCAGCTTTTTATCGTCTATAAACGAACTTGCAGGGCAGAGCAAAGTCAGCAAAGTAAAAATGAGGAAAAGATGTTTGGTTTTATGGACACGAGCCACTCCTCTGCTTAGAACCGCCATCGCTGCCAAAACTGGTTTTCTGAGATAAACACACACAATACAGTCGTAAGTCGCAGTTAAAACTGAAAAGAGACAAATTCTGAAAGTAAAATGAGTAAATGCTGTACCAAATTCAACATAATTACCTTCTAATGGAGCGGAGGGCGAATCAGACGTCAGGAGTTACAAACAGCGAGGGAATGAGCCACAGCTTGTTTTTGTTGTTCTCATTGTCACCTCCCACATAGCTCAGCATGTCTGCCTTAACTACTTTCATGAGATTTCTGGATGGCTTCCATAAAAGTTTTACACGTGACTTCTTTGACCCAGCCCTTATCTATGTGAAAGCCTTAAGTTACTGGAATATGCCTACATCGTTTACTGTAACCGAGTCTAATAAAAATAGAAAAAAAGAACAAATGAGGTTTGAAGGTTAAAAAAAAAAACAGGAACAGAGAAAATGAAACTATCTCATGCCACACAAAAATGTTGAAATGATATTAAAAAGCATGCAGCATACGTTTTCTTAGCATTCCCAACTATAACCAGATTGTTAAAGGTAAAATAATTGCATGCCAGTTCAATAATATGCTCTCTTGTTTTGTTCTTATGCGGTTACGAGATGATAATCAAACATTGTTCCAAAGCTAAGTAAGTCTTTTGCTCTGGATCTAACAAATCTGTCAAAATCGGGATTTCCACTTATTAATTTTAAAATTCAACTTTAAACAGTGTACATTTCATTAATAATTTTATTTTTCACCATATATCCTTATCTTCTGATGATGAGAATGCAGAGGATCAAACTGGTTCCCACCATAAATTACATTCATGAGACTTTTACAAGCTGTCTGCTCATTTTTTGTAGCCATGTCATATTATTATCATATTAGCCTTACATACCAACATTGCTTCTGTTCTCAGGTTGCACACATTTCAGCATGTTTGACTTTTAAGAGCAAGTTTGAAATAGTAGCCATTTTTAATTGTGAGAGTCTATGGGAGACTTTAAAGTCTCATTCCAAATAGCCTGTGTTGATCTAATTACCCTGAAAAACTGGGAATAGTTGTTTTTATTAACTAAACAGGTGGTTGCAGTGGAAGGCACCGCTAACCAAATAGTTAGCTGCACTAACTCTGAAGCACTAATCATGAATTTAACTCTAAAATTCAACCTCGTTGATTCCCACCATGTGATGTTAACAAAACATGTGCTACAGCATGAGAAACAATACATCACACTGTATAATCCAGTAGATTACACAAAAGCTGCTGTGAATTTCTGCAGGAAAATGCAAAATTGATTTTGATCTTGATTTTTATGTTGCATCTTCATGAGCTAATTGTTTCTCAAAATGTAGCACAAAGAACAACACAATTTAAAATGAAACTCATCTTCAACCACCTTACATTCAAAAACCGACAGACTTTTGGTGTCCTTTGAATCTGACCAGTTCTTTGTATACCTTTCATATTTCAATATACACATATCTCAGGTTGAAATACATTCTTACTTTGAGTCTAAATTCAGTTGTAAGTTCAAGTTTCCTGCAAATCTTCTAGAACCACAACTGTAGGAAACTGAACATCTATAGACTAACTTTATTTAAATAACAGGATAAGTTCCTTCTACATTGTGCTTTGCAGCAATCTTGTGCACCCCAAGAAAATACCTCATAGCTCTGTAAAAGACAAAGTTAAAATAATAAAATGTCATGTGGAACAATACACCAACAGGCAAAGATGCAAAACAATTAAAATGCACCAAAACAACACAAAACGTAGAGCACTAAATTTGTTTGACCAGCATGGTCATAATGCACATTTATTTTTTTTAAACACATCTTAAGCTGACGAGGATAAAATCAAGAAGGAACAGGTTTTACACTCAGATTTAAGTTGTCTAAGACTTAAATTTTATTGATAAGAAAAAAGATTGTTTGTTGCAGAAAAAAGTAAGAAATACACAGTTAATTAAAATAAAAAGAAACAATAGGGAAAGCCCTCCACAGTATTAAAAATATGTGAAACATTAAAAAAATGAACAAAATGTTTTCCTTTTAAAAGGACTTAAAATGTGAAGCATGTTACCATAGCGTTTTATGGCAAACATTAGATTCATCTTGGGTCGTTGCACATATGATACAGGATCAAAGAAATAAAACACATAAATTAATCTAGAAAAACTGAACCTGCTCGATGAAATGCAACAGGTTAAGGCAACAGAGAGAGAGAAACGGTTACAGCTCTCCATGCAGCTCGTGGTGAGAGTTTTTCAAAACGTTCAAAACCTCTTTCAGGCTTTTCCCCATGTTCTTCGCTTCTGGAGAGATCACCTTTTTCTTCAGGGTAATGTAAGTCCTGAAACCTTTAATGAGTTTTTCTATGATGCTTATCAATGGATCATCCCCCGTTGACAGTTTTCTCACTGCTTCTATTTTAGGATAAAGTTCAAGCAGCTTCAAATCAAGCTGTTGTGCTCCAGCTGAGATCCTGTGCTTGTCTTCTGTCTGGAGATAGAAATGAGAATTTAGATGTGTAAAAAAAAAATAAAAATGAATAAATAAATTACGTTTTGATAAACAGCTTTCATATGCCACCTAAGATTTTTTATGCAATCAAAACTTTAGTTTATGAAAATGAGAAAAAGTGATATATAGATAGAATGGTATATATTCTAAACATTTGTTGTTTTTCATGATAACGTTTCATGAAACCCTAAAATTAATTTCCTCATAAAATAATAAAAAAGAATATTTTATTTTATTTTATCTACATATTAGCAGGGAAGACACCTGCCACTATGTAATGATACATCTTACTAAATTAGCTATATATTCAAATAAAATTACTGAAATGCATCAAACATAACTTCTGGGTGATTTTAAAAAATTTACTGAGATGCCCTTTTTCTTGTCCTTCGAAGTTTTGTCAAACCCACCTTTTGTTTATATGCTTCATTCACTGCTTTCTGGAGATTTTTCATAAATGTTTCCTAAAACAAATTAAGACAATTAAGTGGACATTTAACAGGAAATGACGTTCATGCAGAGAAGCTTACGGTAAAGGATGTGACCTTTCCCACACATGTTAATTATTAACTTTACCAGTTGTTTCTCGTTAGTTAGAGACTGAGCTTCTTTGAGAAGTCTGGAGATGGTATCGACTCTGTTTTGTCTTTGTTTCTGACAGGGAAAAATAAAACTGAACTTTGACAACGAACATTCATTTTTGGATAATTTGTGAACAACACTTAGACCCACCTGAAACCCCACAGCTTGTTCTATCATTCCCCGGATGGCTGTCTTGTACATGTCCTGAAATGCAGCAAACAGGAAGTAACGTGTCTATTGAAGTATAGCATAGGAGTGCAATTACACAAGTCCAAAATGGCTTTTGAATTGACTTGATTTTAGGTAGAAAAGTTCAAGAAGTAAAGGTCAGCTTACCAGATTAGCACCAAAGTCCATGGAGCTGACAGTGTTGGTCAGAAACACCAGAGAGACGACGAGGGAAACAAGTTTGATGAGTCTGACTGAAGTCTCTGCTCCGCTTGCAGATGCTGCCATGATTCCTGCTATTTAAAAACTAACAACAAATGGTTATACGATCCACCGAAGAAAAGCTTAAAAGACAAATCATTTGAAATTGTTTGGGAGCTTTTTGTTGCTTAGTTGTGAAAACCTTACCTGTCGGATGAGTGTCTGGATGAATGACGACTGAGGAAGTGATAAGCTGACTTGGCAGCAACGCTCCAAATGCCTCTGGCTGTTTCTTTCCCGAGCTGCGACTCACGTGGGATCTGATTCTTTTGTTTCACTTTGCTGCAAAAGTGAAAGTAAAGGAGCAGTTTAACATTTAGATTATTGCAAAAAATGCACCCAAAACTACAACTACTAATTCAAACTATATTGTTCTGTTGAATGCATGAATGAAGGGGGTCACAAGGAAACATTTACTGACAGACACAACCGGCTTGGTTACATACAAAACTCGTATGTTGACAGTCACAAGGATCCTTGATGATGGTGGTTTTGATGATCATGCTGGTTTTTTAAAAGCTAGATGCTGTAAAGTTTTCATTCATGTCAAATTTCACAATTCTTGTTGCATATTTGCAGCTTTATTCAGAAGTTCTTTAATCGCAAAAGCTTTGCTTTGCTCAAGGAAGCTGTTTATCTCATGAGTTCTCAGAAAATATGTTGACAGTTTTCCCTTCAGCATTCCAATTAAAGCATCCAATCATCTATTTAAACTCATCTATCCAGGAATTTTCAGACTCGACTGACGGAAAAGAACGAAAACATCTTTGATTGTTTTCAACAACAGCAACTGCTCTGGTTTCAAATTATATCCGCATACAGAAAGTCAAAATTCTGAGATAAATTCTTGTTTTTCTTTTGGCCCTAATCCTCTTCCGTAACATTAGACTATCTGGTATCTGAACTGAAAAGATAGAATCTATGTTCTAAACATGCTCAGCAAACGAGAAACACATCAGGCAGCTTAGTTTGTGAACAGATATGTCATGTTCATTATAGCACTTTGGCTTAGCGCTTGAGGAGGAACAGGCTTACAAACCTGCTCTTCATATTTTTCTGATCCAGTCATTAGTTTGTTTATTGTAAGTTGAAACGGTGAAAAGAAAGAAAATGTGACAAGACTCAGAAACTTGTGGCTGTCGTATGATCGGAACAGATTTCATCTGTCGTGACGTAAATATGTGATTATCTGCCAAAAAAAGAAAATGTAGAAAATGTTTTTTTTTCTTCTGCATTCATTTCAGGGCATTCACATTCAAAAATATTCACATTAATCCTAACTTTTTTTTCTTTTTTTCTAAAAGACTTAAATATACTCAAACTTATACAGACGCTAAGAATGCTAAACTGCTGACGATAATTATCCAATTAATCTAAAACAAAAAAAAAACATCATGTTTAAACTTAAATACTCTGCCACAATACATAACAAAGTGGGACACCCACCAAAAAAAAAAAAAAAAAAAAAAAAACAGCCAAAAGGATACTGAAGTGAGAGGGGTGTTAAATACAGACTTTTAGAGCTTCATTTCAATTGTTCTGCAAATGTTTTTACTGTTGCGCTCCAACACATTGCAAATTAATTTCAGTTAAATTTATTATTATTATTGTTATTATTATTATTATTATTATTATTATTATTGTTATGGTAGCTCCAGCATAATGACTTTCTCCTTCTTTGTTTTAATGGCCACTCTTTACCATGATGACAGTCAGAGTCTCACACAGATTTCTCATGTGAACAGAACGGTCTGCACCTGTTGCATTGTTCTCAATTGTGCAGTCGGTCTTTGTAGAAAGAGTGCAACACACCCACTTACTGCACACAGTTAGTTTGTAGATCAGTCCTTTGAGGTTAAAAGGAACAGACAATACGTATATCACATAAAGAATCATGTTTATTATCTGTCAACTTGGTGTGTTCTCAAAAATGGTGATCTCTCTCAGAAAACATGATCAATCAGTTCAATGGTATATTTCAGCAAAACAGAAAAAAAAGATACTCTAAATAAACAAGAACGGTTCAACAGACACAAACACAACCATCCGCTGGATCATTTCAAGTTCAAAACGACGTACAGCAGGTACAAAATGTGTGTTCATTGTGAAACAATTTATTAGTGTGAACACATCTCTAAGAAAAGATTCAGGAAGTTACCCAATATAGTACAAAGTAATAGAGGAAGAAAAACTGTTACAACTCAAACATGATCATGAATCTTCTGCCGAGAACTTCATGCAACGCGTTCTCCAGGTTTGTCTCTGTTTCGTTTGCTGTTGAGGTGTATAAATCTTTGTGCAGTGATAAGTAGTGGCCCGATACCTGAAAGATTTGCTCCAAGGCTTCAGCAATCCTTCTTGTTAATGGATCTCCACGTTTCCATGTCTGAATTTTAGGTAAATAGTTAAAAATCTCTATATTAAACAGATATGTGTAAGCTTTAGCTGCAGCTGCTTTTTCTACCTGTTGGAATAACAAAAAGAAAAACATTTGTATAGTCTGAGCGTTCACATTTCTGTAAATATTTTCTTGGTGACTTACGATCATAAACCATCTGAGTGACATAAAGGCAGACTGACCCACCTTCTGTTGGTTCGCTTCATCTACAGCTTCTTGAAGATACTCCTGGAATAATTTCTGAAATTTACAGAGAAAATATGTGGATGTGAAAACTGACCAGATATTTAATACGAGTCTGTGTGTTTAGAGAAAATACTGTCACATGAATAAATAAACCCACTTTACTTACAAGCTGCTTCTTGTTTGCCACAGAGTTCGTTATGTCCAAAAGTGTTAAAATATGTTCAGCACCACTTTCACTTTCTCTCTAGTGAAGAAAAATTAACTTCATCAGCAGACAGTCGAGGATAATTTCTGACACAGTATGTAAGAAAAAGGAGACTTACAAGGAGTCTGACTGATTCTCTTGTTCTCTGTATGCTTTTTATCAACATGTTCTAGAATTTACAAGAAACACAGTTCCACAATTAATCAGGTATTCCATATAAGCCAAAACACATTTTAAAGTCTATTTACCAGTGAATCATCTTCAAAATCCAGTGACAGTCCGACGTGAACCAGAAACAGCAGCGAGACGATTCGGAAAAGGTTTTTTTTGAAGCTCAGAGCCTCCAGTCTTCTACGTCCTGCTCCAGCCATTAGTTCTGTGACGGATTAAAACCTCGAATCATGATTAAAATAAAAGGAGGTTTGTTTAAAATGCCAGCGATAAAGATCTTACCTGTAGGAGAATCAACGGTGAACTGAATGGATGATAGGAGAAAATAATGGAGCTGTTTCTACAACTGAAAGCAAAAGTAAAGTTATATGGGATCATAAACAAGAAAATAAAAAAACCCAGGAGGAAAAAAAAAACATTTACCGACAGCCACAACCGACTTGGTCACATTAAGTGCTGAGACAAAATTTGTATGTTGACAAGTTTTTGTAAGCGAGTTAAAGTTTCACTTTCTGTTGTTTGCTTATTATGTCAACACTAAGTGACTATAAGGAGAGCTTGACTGGTAGTGTGTGTCAGCGTGTGAGCTGAGCTCTCCAACAATCCTGAACAGAATGAGACGGAGGAATGATGCACTGTTTTATTAGTTAAATTAAAATAAATAGTTAATTTAAATGGAAAATTAGACGTTTTTTTTTTTTTTACAGGAGAACGGATAAAACCAGAGCAGCCAGAGCTGTTTGCATCTTGACATCTATGCTGGACGACGTATTTTCAGCCACCTAACAAAAGGTAAGATCATTAAAGCTGCAAAACTTTAGTTCGATTTTAAACTTGACTTTTTTAAGATAATTGATTATTTTAACAGAAATCATGGCAGAAGCTGCAGGCAGACGATGGACTGTTATGAGAGTCATCAAATATCTGTTCCTCATCCTGACTCTGCTGTCTCTCCTTTACATCGGAAAGTTACTCATATTTAACAACCCAGTGGTAAACAGCCTTTTAATTTTCTTTCAAACCCATAATGTCTAAATGCACATTATGTTTCTTCAAGCATCATGTCTGGATGCAATTTATCAGTTGACTTGTTTGTGTGTTTTTGCTCATTTCAGGACATGTTGAAGGAAAGTTTAAAAGCGTTGTTAGAGGAATCAGTGAAGATGAACGTGGGTCTTTTTTCTTTTGTTCACATGTTGGCTATGTTTCCATCATGTGCTTTAATCATGTGTTTTAATGTGATATGAAGTGAAATGTCTATAAACAGAAAAATCATTTCTGCAATTTTAAATGTTTTATTTTGTACCATCAGAAAGAAGAACAAAGTAGGCTTGAAACTCTCTCTCGACTCCTGGATGATGTGAGTGTGTTGGTGCGGATTCACCTTTAAGGTGAGTGGTGGGCGGCACCAACGTACCCTTT